TTTTTCAATAAAATATAGACAAATCTTGCATTCAATACTGTGGAGCCTTTTTATGGAACAAAATAGTTTTAAAACATTTTGATTTTTCGCATAATTGGATTTATTTTTCTTTTAAAAGAAAACTAAAAGAAGTAATTTTTTCAATTGATAACATATTTTTATATTTTTAAGTTATTACCTATTCCACAAAATAATTAAGGAATTGTAATTTGAACGACAGTATTTTTTTTAGATTACATATTATATATTGACATTACATATATACTGATGAAAACTGATGTAATTTTTCGAGTTTTTGTTTGCTTTTTTTGTTTGTTTGTTTGTTTTTGCAAAATATTAAATAATGAGAAATATTATACATATATTCACATTTATTATAAAATATTGTTAAAACTTACTTAACATCTAAAGAGTATTATAATATGTAAACTCATTTAAAAATTGTTTTCAATATTTGTAAATTTATGTATTTTGACTCTTAATATAAATTGTAAAGGGCTTCATGATAAGATCGTGTGATATTGAGTATATCACCAGTAATATATTCAATGTAAACTTGCCTTGTACATATTATTCTGGAAAAAAAGTAAAAAAAAAATTAATTGCGCAGACAAATTTGCTTTTAAACAATACGCACTGGTGGCCAAAGAGACCGCTTGTTTTGATGCAGTGTCACTCAAATAACATATAGTTTTTGTTTTGTAACAATAGAAAAGAGTTTTTTTTAAATCCAAACTATCCTGCTAAGAGTCATAAATGGGGCAAAACAGTTAAAATGAGGGGGTGTAAGCCCATATAAGATTTCCATTACAAAAAAATATAAATTGAATTTCAATTAATTCAAGCAAAGTTAAAAACAACAACAACAAAAAAAAAACATTAAAAAATATTTACAATATTAATGTATATATGGCACATAATCGTATAGAAATTAAACAATTTTTTATCCTGCTCCAGAGACGCATGTAACGTTAAATTAAACTCTTTTTCCATTAAAAGTAACTACAGAGTCGCTCTTGATGTTGAGTATAGGGTAAGATTGCCGATATTGTACCGGCGCCTAAATTGTACTTTTGCTGTATCTAGTTACTTTTACAACCCCAAAAAAATCTTTTGACTAAAATTTTGTCTTTGCTATGTTGAACTAATGAATCAATTGATTTTTTGTGAGATGAAACTATATTCTGGCAACAGTTACCTTGAGTTGATATGATGCCAAAGTTTTCTTATTTTTGGGTTTCAATGTTTACAGTATTAATTTAAACATGTTAAATATGTCTTTTTATCATATTTATGTGAAAGCACTATTTATGTGAATTCAAATAACTTCGAAGAAATTAAAATAAAGTAGCATTTGTTGTCTTATTTCGTTATAAACTCAAAGTGAGTCTAGTCACGTAATTTGTACCTCACTCAAGGCCCTAAATTGTACCAAGGCTGCCATTTTGAATTTTGAATATTTGTACTTTTGTCGATAAAAAAGATTTTCTGTTTTGTATTATTAATATAATTTGCAGTAATATCCATCACGTTCCGACCAAAATTCTAGCTACCACATTAGTAAGTTACACATTTAATATAAAAGTTATACCTTATTGATGGTACCTGTTTTCAGACAGGAAAGATTTACAGTTTCATAGTTTATTAAATTTAAAACTTTTTTACATTGCTTGGCACAAAAAAAGATCTTTACTAAAGTCATTCAAAATTAATATAGTATTTGTAAAATCAAGATATAGATACAATATTGGATTATAATAGTACGATTTAGGAACCTGTTTCCTTAATTGTACCGATAGTATGTTTTTTAAAATATAGTTCCCTATCAAATACTAACGTTTAAATTTTGACATATTTCAAATTTTTTACAACCGTTTATCCCCAAATTATAAAATACAATAAATTCTCATTGTTTCTACTTTGTACTTTTTCTCTATCTTTTATTTTATTCTTATAGGGTACAATATTTGCAACGGTATTCTACTCTTCTATATGTTTAAATCTATTCCACGTAGGTTAAAATTTAGAATGAAGTCTCCACACTGTTTATCAACTGTCTTGGCTACATAGAAAAGAGTTTTTTTAGTACACCTTTACATTTCAGTTTTCTCAACATAGACCTATAGTTCAGTTTATGAAAGACTTTAAAATAGAAGATTCTTGTTAAACTTGTATTCTTGCGACTGAGTATAAATTAGTATATGTTGAATTAAAAAACTTTTTTCTAACCACCTAAGACTCCTATCATTCAAGTATTCTAAATAGTTTACAATCAGTTTGCTAAACAGTGTGAAGACTTCATTTTAAATGTAAACCTACATAGAATTGATTTAAACATGTAGAAAGTATACTCAATATCAAAAGTGACTCTGCATATACTTTCAATAGAAGTTGAGTTTAATTTAACGTTAACTTTTACATGTTGCTCTTGAGCAGGATAAAAGATTAGTCATGTTTTTTTTGTTTTAAACTTTTTTTAAATTATTTAAAACTTAATTTAATTAATAATACCACCTTAATTTTACCCTTTTGACCTAATTATGACTCTTAGGGTGGAATACAAGAAGCAAACTTGACTCAAGTTCGCAAGAAGCAAACTTGACTCAAGAAAGCAAAACTTGACACAAGAAGCAAACTTGACTCATGTTCGACTTGAACTTTACTTTATTTTAGCGGCAGAGTATTTTTTGAGAACTTTACTTTAGCGGCAGAGTATTTTTTGAGGGGAAAACCCATACTCTGTCGCTAAAAAAACTCTTTTCTATTGTTACAAGACAAATATGCTTGAATAAATCTAGTTTTTTCAAAAATGCATGAAAACAACTGGCTATATCTTCTTTCTTAGTTCCTGATGTTACTTCGTGCCGCACAGTAGCAAATGGTTTTCTCTTCCTGTTAAAGGAACCAAGAGGCGCAAACGTGTTCATTGAATGAAATGATTCTTTTTGTAAAAACAAAGCTTTTAAATATATTTATTGATTTAATTTTGATATAAATGTATTAATATATATGTTTCTTTCTTCGATTTGACAAGCACTATCCATCAAAAAAAAAAAAAAAAAAAAAAAGTTATTTTGTCCCCTGGATGTTTGCGCTAATGTTACTGTTTTCTGTTTTATCTGGCGTTCCAAGTTGTGAAAATAAACTTTTTTTTTCTGAATTATTTTTATCTAGATTTGTGAGTTTATTTTAAGATTTCTGACATCTCTGCACTTATTACCACAACCTGGTAAGAAACTATACATAATTCTTATTTTTCCTCAACTTGATTTTTTCTTATAAGTTTTGTAATGGTTGCTCGTTTCCGTTTTATTTATTCTTCATCTTCAACGTATGAATAAATTTCATAGGATAAACAGGGAACAACAATAAAACGTTGAAAAATATTCTTTGATGCTGTAGATTTACAAGACCTCATTTATTTGCATAAAATTTTCTTTCGTCGTCTTTGCAATCTTTCATCCCTTGTCATATTACATTTCCAATTAAATGTTTGTGGAGTTATTACAGTAATGGTTGATTTGTTTTGAACATCCAAATAATTATGATCAGGAATCAGCAAATCGGGATTCACATTTGATATTTCATTCAAAATTAGATCATCACCAATAGGAGGCTCTATTAAGTCACCTTGATTAATTATAGCATATATTCGTTAAACTTTGGTTACGAAGTTTAACGAATATTACTATTCGCTTGACTAATAGTACTATTCGTTAAAATTCGGTACCGAAGTTTAGCGAAACAATTAGCGATTCGCCATATGTTTAATAAAAACACTATTTGCCGGTGCTTCTTTATGTTTGGACCTAGTGTCAAACAGTTTTTGACAAACAACTTGAAATTTACTTTTTTGCACTTAAAGATTTCTTATTTCCCTCAAAAAATGCACTTTCATTTATGAGGAATAACTTTCAAAATCTTTCAAAGATAGAAGAAAATAAGATTAGAAAATGAACTAGAAAAAATGCAAAATATAGTCACAAACATTTTTTTCTAAAATAAAGCGTTATTTCAATTTCGACAACTCTCCCCTAATAAAACTTTAAATGACTTTTTCAAAATCAATTTTTGCGCAATCTGCCTCTTTCAAGCAGTGATGGATTTGTATGTTTATACTTATGTCAAATAATGATGCTTTGAAAAAGATTGCGATGATTGAAGGTTGGGAACAACAAAGCCCTTTAACTTCATCCCCCACCAAAAAATCCTGGATCCGTCACTGTTTTTAAGGCTTAAATTAATTTGGTCATACTAATATTCTCACAATTGTTATTTGTCCGTGTGGTCAAAAAAATAAAATAGGTTTTTTATAAATTAATTCATTTGAAGCTGAATAAAGCAATAATATATTTTAAATATGCTCATTCTATTCATCAAAAATAGTATTTTATGAAAATCTTGTTAAATAATTTCTCTTAAATTACTTTTTCTTTTCTTTTTAAATTACAACTTTTAGAATTTTTTTAATTCTTGTAATTCGAACGATCTTCTAAATCGAACACTTTATCACTACAAAGTTGAATAGGATTGAACTCTTATAATTCAAAAACTCATTTAATTCGAACATTGATTGATTAAACATTAAATTAGTAAAAACATGATTGTTACACAGCGGCTCCAGAGCCTTCCCGAGGGAGAGGGCTCCCTACGAATTTCATTATTATTTTATTATTTTTTTTGGCTTTAGTCGGCAAAAACAGATAAGTCACCCTCCTCCCCCAATAAAATCTCTTCGGGACAGCCCTGAGCGGTTCATGACGACCTAATAATTTTCTGCAAAATTACACGAGTTTTTTTATTTAACTAATAACATTTTTCTATTTGTAAATATTAACCACAATTAGCAATAACTATATCGCTAAAGATTTTCATAAATTTTTATAAGGCAAAACCAGCGTCAAGTTCAAACTTTTAAAACCTTTTACTTCTAAATTTACTTTTAATAACATCGCGTTTGGTGGCGGAGTGAATGGCTATTTAAAAAATATGAAAAAAGATGAAAATGGTAACAATTTATCTTTATCAATCTTATTAACTGTTGAGTGTCAAAAAATTACACTAACTTTAAATGTCTACCACAACAGGTAAATCTTCTTCGTCTTCGTAATCTAAATCCCAATGAAACCTTTCAATAATTTTACCCTTGAAAATGGAAGCACGATGAAGAAGTTTATTATTGATTTGTTCAGGATTATCAAAATTGGTAAAAAAGTTCTAAACAAAATTTTTTTAATAAATTTACTTCCAAATTAAATTTAATATTACTGATCTAAGTTTGACTTACTTTGAAGGTTTTTACAAGAAAATTATTTTGAGCTACAATATCAACAAAGAAATCTTCTGGAATCTCCTCGAGTTGTCTTTCCACTATGTCTTAATAAACAAAAAATCACACAATTTTTTTGACTGGACTATAAGTTGAAAGACGCAAAATTTAAAAACAAAACATGGCATATTAATAAAATAGTTACCAATAAATTTACAAAAAAACTCATGATTCTCCGATAAATAATTCTGACAAGAAGCAATTAAATTTATTAACGCTTTCCAATGATCAAATGCGTCATACACTATAAAAAGTGAAAACAGAAGTAGTTATCAAAACTTGCATACAATCAACGAATAAAAGTTGAGAAGGCGGAGGGGGGGGGAAGGGGGTAGGGGTAGGGGTAAGGATTTTTAAAAAGTACCCCGACTGGTTCCTAAAAAAAAAGTCCGACTGTAACTTTAACTTACCTTCTTTGGGGAAGGGGGAAACTAAAGTTGAATAAAAAAAAAAATCGCCTCTGCGTACAAATCCAGTGCAATAATCATTAAAAAATTGTTACATAGTTAAAGGTTGCCAATAACTTATATATTTTAATTACAAACAACTTTGAGATTATTTTCGATGTTATTAACTATGCTGCTTAAATACAATTTTTACAAAGTTATATTTTTAACACAATCAAGGCGAATAAATAAAATATAAATTTTTAACACAATGCTGATATGTAAAATATGGATATACTAACACTATAAGTTTTTATTAGCTTGTTTTACAGTAGTTTAGAATAGAAAATAACAAAAAGATTAACAAAAAAATTTAAAATCTTTTTTTCTTAAAGAAACTCCTAAAAGTTTTTTCCTTCAAAACAATCAAAAAATAAGGCGCTAATAATTTTATGTTATTACGAAGTACCAAAAAAACAGTTTATAGAAGATGTAAATCAATCGTAAAATAACTCCGAACCTAATAATAAATTATAGTAATAAACGTTTTGATAAGCGCAGAAGGAAAAGAAAAACTTTTAAATAGAAAACTTTAAACACAGATGTCAAAAAGTTGAAATTGTTTTCTATTTATAACCGGCTTTTAATATTATCGGCAAAATAATCAATGAAAAGATTTTGAAAATAAATAAAAATGTTTTCAATTTATAAATTAATGACCGCTTTGTTAGTAAACCTTTAGTCGTAATTTAGCTCGTTTTTGATAAAAACGTCGTTAAGGCAGAATAGTTACGATAATTATGTAAACAAACGTCATGTAAAGAACCACCAGTGTGAGTAAAGAACGAGTTATCAAGTTAGACATAAACTTGTGAAGACGTATTGTAAATCGTTAGTAATTAAACTACACTTTGCAATGTAACTAAAATAACTGCGGTTTTTTCGTCAGAAATATTCAATAGCTTTTTAAATGGTTGGTTAAAGCATAAAAAAGTTACTATAATAGAATAATTTTCACAAATTTTTTTAGTTCAAAGTAAAAATTTTAAAGAATTGGAGATGTTTTATTTTGGAGTTTCATTGTTTACCTTATTTGCCGCAATTAGCTACTTCATTTTTCAACGAAGAATTAATAAACGTCATCTTCGCGAAAAACCCTCACTAAATGTGTACGACATCAATACCGTCCATGAAAAGTTTGTTCAAATTAGATATATTTAAAGATTACTTATAGTTGATTAAATGTTATATCAAAAGCAGAAAAATATATTTACCTTGGCCGAGTAAAAAACAGATAAAAGCGAATTGCAGTTCTCCTAGTATATCGTCCTCTCCTATATTAAATAAACAAAGAAGTTTATTATTAACATTACAACTTTTTGTAGAAAAGTGTTGCAAAATGTTGTAAGCATGTATAATATATATATATATATATATATATATATATATATATATATATATATATATATATATATATATATATATATATATATATATATATATATTAATTTGGGAAACTTTACTATATTTATGTACATAAATAAATAGAATTATAAACATTCCATAAATTTTTCAATGAGTAATTGTATGTATGAGAAAAAGCTTGATTAATAGAGAAAGTTTTTAAATGTCTATATTGTCAAATTATTGCCAATACAATTTTTAACAAGTATTGTCACAATTGCTAGTCTTTTTAATTTTACAATTTTTAATATTTATTTTCGGGATATTAATGCTGTCTATCTTTAATTTTTTTCTTTAAGTCACGGTAGTGAAGTTCGATTGGTTAATTTTTAAGTCACGGCGGCGATTGTGATTGGTTGACTTTTAAATTTTGTGATTTCAAAATCTAAAGTCAAAATCTTGTTGTAAAAGTTGTAACCTAGTGAAGTTGTAACACAGCGTTTTCATTTTAATCGAATTTAAATTTTTTTTTTGCAAAATCGAAGTTATTAGCAAAACAAGATTTCATATGACTTTATAAATCAACCAATCAGACTCCACTACCGTGACTTTAAGGGAAGCAACGGTACCGTTGCGCTAGACATAAATTGCTATTTTACAACTTTGGGTTATATAAGCCAAAAGTCAGTTTTTAGCAAAAGTAGTTTGGTTTTAGGGCTAATTTTATCAAATTATAAAGCAATATAAAGTTAATAGAAAAAGTATTTTATCCTATATCTGTTTTTGCAGTTATTTACTTTCCAACTTTATCATAATCTCTGAAATAAAATTGCTAGCTACTCAAATAAAATTTTAAGTTTAAATACTAAATTCAGAAAGTTTATTCAAAAAAAAATAAACATTTTTTAAAAATAAACTTTATGAATTTAATATTTAAACTTAAAATTTTAAAATTTTTTATTCAATATGGTGCTAAACATAACGATTCACAAGCTGCGTAATTATCGCAAATTATTCTATTTCTTTATTGCAACAATCGTTATGTTAAAATTAAGTAACATTTCAAAACCAAACAATTTTTGCAATAAACTGACTTTTATAACCAAAAGTTTTAAAAGAACAATTTATTTTTAATTTAACAAAAATTTTCTGAAAATAAAAACAAATATTAAACATTTTTTATTTTAGAATAACAGCAGTTATTCTAAAATAAAAAATTCCTTGAGTTATGTAAATTATGTAAAATATATTCCTTTTTTTTTCAAGGTTTTTAAAACCATTTTCAATATTTTCAAAATTTTTAATTTTTAATTCAGCGGCAGCGGATCACTTTTATGACACCACTAGGTGGATATCACCATCCTAGAAAAAATTCTAAAACAGGGTAGATTTATTTTCATACATTACTCTTAGGTGCATAATACAAGAGTATAGGCAAGAGGGATAGGGGAAAGGGGAGAGAAAGAGGTGGGGGTGATGGAAAAGGGGTGAGTGGGTGTTAATAAAAGAGTATTCGTGTATGAGGGGGGTGGGGTGGGGTTCGAATTTTAGACCAGACTTATAAACGGGACGAGGTAGTAAGGGGGGGGGAGGGTCTTTTAAAAAGGGTGCATGAATAAACAATTTAATTTTAATGCGGCTTGCGGTCAAATACGCATTTTTAAACAGCTGTTTCGATGTAATTCGGTATAATTCGATTCGATAGAATTTAATATTCAAACATAAGTTTTATACTACGGGAAAAACAAAAACCTAAATTTTGACAAATCGAAATTAACAAGATTTTTTGAAGGTCGACGATTTTTACACTGAAAGTATTTATTTTTAAGAAAGACTGATATAAATTATTTAAGTTTTAAGATGTTTTTTTTTTGATGACAAGTAAAAATTAATAAACGGGGGGAGGAGGGTCTCAATTAACATGGGATGGGTGGAAAAAATTGCAAAAATAAATAAACGTCCCTTACCGCGTATTAAGCACATAAGAGTACCATATCTTACCCTGTAAAAGCCTGTTAAAGCAAAACCTACAAGCAAACAATCCAAAGATTGGATGTTTTCAAGAGCAGTCCATAGGGTAACCCGGGGCAAAGCGAGACACCGGGGCAAAGTGAGACGTTTAAGTTTTCTAGCCTTGTACAGAATTTTTTCAAAATGATACAGTAGTTTTGTTTTATTATCTTAAAAATTTCATGTTTTTTTTTTTTTTCATGTTTTGTGTAAGTTTAAAGTTTAAGAGTTTAAACCCACAAACTTCAAATTATTATTTTTTTTTTGTGTGGAAGAATCCATTTACGCTGGCATTTTTTACCACAGAACAATCATAATATTGAACTTGTAATAATTTTTTTGCCATCCCAAATTTTTGCAAGGACTCTTTATTTGGCTTAAGTATGAATATACTTAAGTTTGTAGTTTGCACAATGTGTGAAAGTGTCCTATCTGAAACATCAAAAAATCCTGCGTGCGCCCATACTTTGAGCCACATCAAATTTTAATTGTGATGAGTCTGGGTTGTCATGCGTCCATAAGCCATTAAAAGTTATCTCATCTACAGGAAAACAATTTGTTTCATCAGTGACAAGTAGGGAAAAAGGAGTCACAACAAAAATTTTATGTGCATGTAATTCTGTTGTTCATTATGTACCACAAATGATGATATTTAAGCACAATAAAAAAAGAAATTATTACTCACAGATAATATTGCAGTTGGAACTATTCAAGGATGCTCAGAAAATGGCTGTGTTAATACAGATTTATTTTTTGAATATATACAACATTTTGATAAACACGTGCTATACTCCTTGATCAACAAAGTTTTACTTATATTTGATGGTCATTGTTCTCATACCAAAAGCTTAAAACTTATAGACTATGCTTGTGACAATAGATTGTTTTTGCTGTTGCTATCACCACACAAAACTCATAAACTTTATCAATCGGACCGTGGATTTTTTAGGTCTTTGAAAACCTTTTTTAATCAAAAATGTATGAGATGGATGCGAAATCATTCAGCAAGACGAATACAAACAGAAAATCTTGGAGAACTTTTTAACGAATATATATAAAAGCTGGTAATATAGAAAATGCTACTTTAAGTTTTAGAGCAACTGAAATTTAATCGGTATGTGTTAGAAAATGAATATCCAAGGATACCTTTGAGTGATAAAAATGATAATATCAGGTTATCCATACCTCATGAAATTCACTTTAAATGGGATAACAAAAAAGGAAGTTTTTACAGGAGCCAGAGTTGACTACATTGGAATTAAAGAGTCATGATAAATTAAAGCCATTTGAAATCTTTTCAGAGACTACATTTACTTCATCAAGTTCTTTTGAAGACATACCTAAATTTTGAAAATTTATCCTCCAAAAAGAAAATCAGCTGAAAAATCTGAGATTATAACATATAAGAAAAAAATTTTGCTGAAAAATCTGAGATTATAACATATAAGAAAAAAATTTTACTTAAAAAAAAACCCTGAAATAAAAGAAAGAAACAAAAAGAAGAGAGTAATAAGAGAAATTTCTTTCTTGAAAAGAACATTAAATTAAACAAAAAGAACATTAAATTAAACAAAAAGAACATTAAATTAAACAAAAAGAACATTAAATTAAACAAAAAGAACATTAAATTAAACAAAAAGAACATTAAATTAAACAAAAAGAACAATAAATTAAACAAAAAGAACATTAAATTAAACAAAAAGAACATTAAATTAAACAAAAAGAACATTAAATTAAACAAAAAGAACATTAAATTAAACAAAAAGAACATTAAATTAAACAAAAAGAACATTAAATTAAACAAAAAGAACATTAAATTAAACAAAAAGAACATTAAATTAAACAAAAAGAACATTAAATTAAACAAAAAGAACATTAAATTAAACAAAAAGAACATTAAATTAAACAAAAAGAACATTAAATTAAACAAAAAGAACATTAAATTAAACAAAAAGAACATTAAATTAAACAAAAAGAACATTAAAAGAATAAAAAGAAACGAAAATTGAAGAGATGCTTGGCTGAAAAAGGTGTAAACAATGAAGAGAAATGGTTTAGTCCAGTTTGCCAAAAGAAATGGTGCAATAGTACCCAGATTGACTGGATAGCTTGCTGTGTATGTACAGTTTGGGTACACGAAGACTGTACATTAACTGACGTTTACTTTTTATGTGAATAGATTTTATTCAAATGTTTTGACTAACATGAAACTTTGCTCATTTTTTTTTTTTTTTAATTATAATATTTTTTTAATTCATTTCATGTTTTTTTATTTAAAAGGAAAACTGCTTTTTTATGCAAGTAGATTTGGCATTTTATTTAAAAGGAAAACTGCTTTTTTATGCAAGTAGATTTGGCATTTTATTCAAATATTTGACAAACATGAAAGTTTGTGTTTAATATATATATTTTCAATTAATATTATTTTACTTTTATTGTGTTTTTTGTTTTAGATAACATTTGTTTTTTATGCAAGTAAATTTATTATTATATTCATATATTTTGAGTTGCATTAGAGATATTACATTATATATAAAATAATAACTTTATGTTTTTTTATATGCATTTTTTTATTAATCAGATCGAATTTATCAAACGTCTGCTTTAATTATATTGAAAATTATATTTTTACTTAGTTTTTTCTTCAAATAAAATCTCACTTTGCCCAAGATTTTCGGGAAAGTGAGACAGGGTAGTTGTTGCCATTTTGAACTGAATTATGTACTAATACATCACCGCAAATCTTTAAGAGATCATTAGACACATAATGTGCTAGTAGCCTGAAATATTTCCTGTTGTAAAGATTCTTACAACAAGATTCTAAAGTTATGAACATTCTCCAGAAAGTGTCTCACTTTACCCTAAGTCTTTAAAGGTCAATGGAAGAAATTTTAAAAACTTTACATTTCTTTAAATGCAAAAGAAGAACTTTTTTGCTATTGTTGTAAAATCTTGAATAAAAAAATGACTTTTAATCTTTTGCGGTAACACATGAAATTGTTTGTAACCAAAAGGGTTACCATAAAACATAGAAACAAGGTCGGCAATTATTTGCCTATATATCTGTAAGGATTTTATCAAATGATCTAATAATGGTTATGAACAAATAATGAAATTTTTGTTTTGTTTTGCCATAATTAATTTTTAGTGTTCTCCACAATTTTTTTTTTAAAAATAAACTAATGTTACCTAGATTAAAATGAATATATATATATATATATATATATATATATATATATATATATATATATATATATATATATATATATATATATATATACACACACACTCACACATTCACACACATAACTTATATTGCATGTTTAGATAAACTGTCTGATGTCATGCTGAAATAGCCTGCTGTCGGGGGCTTCAATGCATACATTGACTGACTAAATAGGTAGAACATCCAATGAGTGGCGCTATATCAACTACGAGTTTTGGCTGGGACAGCATTATTCTTTGTTTTCTGAAAAAGCCATACGGAATAAAGGTCTATATATATATACGAAAAAAGGTCTATATATATATACGAAAAAAGGTCTATATATATATATATATATATATATATATATATATATATATATATATATATATATATATATATATATATATATATATAGCCATTTTTAAGTTGATCTAAAAAAATATTTTAAATCAATATAAAAATAGCTTGATTATCAGCTTACTGAGATTAATATGATCAGATTGTTATACTTTACTTTGTATTTTACTATACAGACCTAACATTCAACAACATTGAAAAAAAAATAACATGGATTATGTTATAATCAAGTATGAATATCTGTTTACAAACATTGTAATATACCTATGCACCAATTCACCTATTTGTTGTGAAACCAGGTTTAAATCCTTTAATCATTTCTTTATGTGCTTCCATTTAGCACCTTTTCATTCAACCTTTTTCTTTGTTCTTAATTGTTCTGGTTCTTTTCGAGACTGCACTCTTTTAGATGCAATTTCTGAATAAATTGACCAAGCCCTACTCTTTATTCCTCTGCCAATATTGTTATTTTTGGTGACTTTAATGTTCATCACACTAAATGGTTCGGCTCTATCAACACTGACCCTGTTGGCACTGAAACTTATAACTTCTGTATTTCTCAATCTCTTATTCAGATAGCTAACTTTGTGACTTGTTTTTCAGACAAACTTCACAACTTGCCTTTATTTCTTGATTTGTGTCTTATCTCTGAAAAAAGGTTTCTCTTTGTTCATCTTTAAGTGGTTCAGACCATGAAATGGTCTCAACCACATAATATTAGATTCTTTTTGTGAATTTACTTTGTGACAGCCCTTATGCTGATATCTTTTGTCTCCCCACTAAGGCGCCTACTATGTTATCTCATGGATCCAGGCAGGTAAGCAAAGCCTCATTTTACTCCATGGTTTTCACCTTCTTGTGTAGCTGCTACTTTAATCATAATCACTTTTTTTAATCTTTTTTTTTTTCACAAGCACAACTTTCAAAGCAAGAAATCAAAAAAGTGTGCTGTGTGATACTAATCTGCATTATTTGCAGTTTTATTATCTCAGAAGATCTTATCTTATCTCAGAAGATTTCTTTTGAAAAATCTTTGACATTAAAGTCATTAAAGTCTAACATTTCACCTCTAATACATGTGTACCTTTTCCAAGAATAAACATTTTGCAAAAGAACTTTTCCTCTAATTCGTCCCTCAATTTAAATGGCCACACTATTCCTGCCATTCCAGTTAAAAAGATTAACCCATTGTTTGATATTCAAACCATTCCAGCTTCTGTATCATTTCTAAATTAATCTCTTCTACTGGTCCAGACATTCCTGCCATAATCTTAAAAAAGTGTTCTCCAGATTTTGCTTTAATTATCTCTAAATTATTTAATAAGTGCTTGACTGAATCTTGTTTTCCTACCTGCTGGAAAATGGCATCTGTGGTTCCAATTTCGAAAAACTATGGAGAAAATTCTGACCCCTCCAGCTATCGCCAGATCAGTCTTCTCTCTATTATTAGCTCTTGACAAATCAAAAGCTTTCAATTAAGTTTGACATGATGGTATTCGACATGAGTTTGATTCATATAGCGTTTCTATGAAAGCTTTTGGAATTATTTCTTTCTTCCTGCAGTTTTAAAGTCATCTTTAGATTAAAAACTTCAAATCTTTGATATTTTCTAATCTCTAACTTCTTTGATATTTTCTAATGTCTACCAAGTGAATAAAACGTAAAAAATCAAACTACCCATTTAAAGGATTTGATCCTGCACCTATTAACAAATAACAGTCGGGCCTAAAATAAAGAACTTACATAATCTAAAGCATTATGCTGACATTTTGATTGTAGAAAAATTATTAACTTTGAACTAATAACTAAAATGCATTTAAATTTAAAAAATATAATACTTATTATAGAAGGTGCATGAAGCTAATCTTGCAGTTAAGTGGCCTAAAATAAATAAATACTGCTCTTGTTCATAGAGAATTCAAAAACATCTAAAAATATTTTTAACAAATATTACTAATACTAATATTTAATATAATAAATATTATTAATTTTTGATAATAATAATCATAAAAATAATGATTATTATTATCAAAAATTAATAATATTTATTATATTATTATGAATATTATAATGAATTCTTCTTATTATAAATATATTTAATTTATTCTTTTTATTAAAAAGCTTTTACACTCAACTATTTTTTGAAAATATAAAAAATTAAATTATTTGGCCACTTAACTGCAGGATTTTATATTAATGTTAATTTTTTTCATTTTTGTTTTTTATTCATTACTGTTAACTGTCTATCATGTCGGGCAACAACGATGTTAAAATTTAAAGCTATAACAAGGCATTTTTTAAAAACTGTTGTTTTTATATCTACTCTAGTTTACAGTCTTCTTTAATTGTAATTTACTGTAAGCATTTTAGACTGACACGCGAGATGTAACTTTTGTTTGCTATTTTTCTTGGAATTTTTACTATATTTCAATTCCAAGAAAAATGGCAAACTGAACATTTTATTTTATTTCTAAATAAGATAATTAAAACAAAAATGAAAAAACGAACATTTAAATTAAATTCTAAATAATTAAAATAAAAAAGGAAAACCAAATATTTTATTTAAACTCTAAAATAATCAAAACAAAAACAGAAAAAACAAACATTTTATTTTAATTCTAAATAAAACAATTACAATAATAATGCAAAATAAAATGTTTTATTTTGTAGTATAGTAAGGAAATTACTTATAAAAAAAATTAGTTTTTATAAAAACAAAAATGATAAAATGTAATGTTTGCTTTTAAAATTTTTAAGAGCACGTCAACATTTGAGTAAAAAAAAAGTAGGCAAAATTGACATTCATTTTTCTGTCAAATTTATGCTAATCTTTTGCACCTTTGTCTATTTGTCAAACCCTGAAAATGTATGATATATTTTTGAGACAACCTAATGTATAATAGAAATTTAATATAAAAACAACAAAAAAATTGTGTCAAATAAAGCCAGAATACTATTATCCAGAATATAATTATTTCAAGTATTAAAAAGAACCATGTATAAATTCAATAGAAGACATATCTTTTACAGCAGACAAGAAATGTCCCCAATAATGCCATACTAAAACATGGATAGACAGGGACAGTATTTACTACATGCATCAGCTAGAAGTAATTTCTTTTATTTATCTTTTTTTGTTTGTTTGAAAAAGTGTCTAAATTAGAATGTGGATTTTAAAACTCAAACTTAAGATTTATTAGTACAGTGCTGAGCTAAAAGAACATAAAACAAATTTTCAAACAATTTTTATATTACAATCTTTGTAAACAGATATTAATACTTGATAAGATCTTTGTATTGAACATTTATAAAAAAAATTGCTTGAGCAACATCCTAAAAGTGAATAAGAAAAACTCTCTCTTTTTACATATATTTTCACCTTCACAAGATTTTTTTTACTATTTTTTTGGTCTCAATTTATAACCACCTGAAACACAAACCTTTGCAAACAATAACAAAATATTTAGCATAGAATTTCCAGAGATGTCGTGGGTTTAAACACTGTACTTCTTGCAATAATGTAAGTGCTCATCACTAGCCCATTAAACTAAACCTGATAATGTGTAAAGGTTTTCAGTTTCTTACATGATAGTATTATAACAAGTATAAATTCAATAATTAAATACCTTTAGGTAATGAAAAATATATAATAGTATTATAATAACAAAAAATAAATTCAATAATTAAATACCTTTAGGTAATGAATTGATGAATTGTTTGAGAAAGTATGTTGAATCAATGCAATGAAGGGTTTTTTCTGCTGGAGTAGTCGATAAAGGGAAAGTATCTGGAATTTTAGAAAAACGTATTAATCCTTCTTCACACTCCTTATGAACAATTCGACTGTCCAAATTAAACACTTTTTTTTTACGCACCGCAGATGTCTGAAGAGAAACTTCAGTAAGAGCATCAAGTTTTTTTAATAAAGGTTGTACTCGTTGAAGTAAATCATCATTAATATAATTAGTGTGCTGAGGCCATTTAGCGCATTGTTCTAATGGATAAGGAGCTAAATATTTTGCTACTTCTTCAATACCTAAAAAAAAGTAGAAATTTTAATTAAATTTGGTTTAAAGCAAAACATTTTTACAAAGTTATAAAAAACATTTTTTTTAATAAGTCATAAAAATTCACCAAATAACAAATATGTATATGTATAATGTTTAAACAAAACACATGCATGACTATAAATAAAAACTAAAAAAAGATTAAAGTTTTTAATATTTAAAAAATTTTTAATATTTAAAAAAATTTCTCAAACTAAATTTCTTAAATATTGTTAAATTCAAGAAACTTATTTAAGGAATATCTTTTTTAAAATAACTATACAACAAGCCCTTTCCAAAAAAATATAATTTAAAATCTTTTAGTGATGCAGGTTGAGTGGACAACTGCATTTACCAATTCTTTCTTTTGTTTATCTTTAGTTTTCCTAGATACTGCATCAATGGTTTGCGCTGCATTTAAGTAATACTTCAGACTTGAAAGACTAAGATGATAAGAAAATTCAGCTTAGCATAATCTTTTACCATACTAAAAAGCGAAAAATAAACTTTTTAATTTAAATTTTATAGCTCAGTAAACTATAGATTGACAGGTCTGTTTCAAAATGAATCTTGTCAATCTTTAATTTACTGAACTTAACTTTTTACTTTTAACTTAAATTAAAAAGTTTATTTTCCACTTTTTAGTGCAGTAAAAAATTATATCTTTCACAAATGTTTTTGCTATATTTTATTCTGTTCACAATATTACAATCTACCTGTATTCAAACGAAGTGAGGAACTAACTTTCAAAATAAAAACTCTGCATAAAGTATATGTGATAGTGGTATAGTGGTATAAAGCAAAAAATACAAAGTTCAAATTCTATAACATTTTGGTAGTATCATGCTCAACTCTCTGCTTAACAATGTTAACATTGTTGTTAACGTTTGTGGAATTCAAGGGTTAAGAGAGCAGCTTTCATTATTATACCCCTTTTTCTGAAAAATGTCTGGATTGATGTCAGCATTTTGAAACTTAAAATGTGCAAAATATCTTATCTATTATTATTATAATTAGCCTACTCAACTGTTGAACTTGT